AGAAAGAAAAATGTGACTCAATCCAGATGGATTTTCCAATTCATTCTCAGTTTTTGTTAGGGGGGAAAAATGATGAAAATTGATTGATAAGAAATAGAGTGTACAAGAGACCCATTGTGCAATGGTTTAGAAAATGTGAATTATGAAAATGATGAAACGGAACATTTTCGGTGATTTTTCAAAGAGTTGGCTCTATTCTGGAAAGACAGAGGCTGAAGGGTGCATCCGAAAGCGCTGCGCATAACAGAGCTCCAACAGTCGAATGTGGGTCTCACCACGAAAAATCGTGTACTGTAGGGTTTTTCCAATTTTCAAAAGCGGTAAAAAAAGTTCAGAAAAATCGGAAAATATTCCTTAGCTTTTCCTGTTCGTTTTCATATTTTGTAATCGGACCGAAATGCCTATATTTCTGCACAGATTGTTCAAAAGTACAGTAATACACTCTCACTCGTGGTGGGACCATTATAAAACCAAAAGCAGATCTATGCGCCTTTAAAAAAATTAATGAACAGATTTGTCGGTCTCCTTACAAGAAACTTTTGGCAGCGGGATTGACGAAATTCCTTCCTATTCTTAACAAAAATCTCAAAACAAACCGAACCCATGAAAGAACGGTACTTTTAAAGGCGCATGATAGACTTTTAACATTGGTTTCGCAACGAAAACAGTTGAATCTTTCATTCTGCGTCCAGCGAAATTTTCGACGATTCGAAGATTTGATTTTGCAGTTTCGAAAATTTTAGAAAAGAAAAACAAGAAGCAAATGAAAAAATATTTATAAATCGTCTAAAATTGATAAGATTAAAGCGAGATTCAAACAGTTCAGGGAATAGCGAAAAACAAAAAAAATCAATCGATAACAAAAAGACAAGAAAAGCCTAAAAACACTATGCAAAATCTAAAACAATGACTAATCTAAAAATTTGGTAAAATGCATTGCTGTCTCATAGGCACCAAAGAACACGAAACCACCGCCAGAAATCCACATGACACGTGGCACTACTCCAGAGTAGAGGCCCCCAATTCCGCCGGATGTGTAGACCTAGAATTAATTTTATTCAATTTTTATTCAGCTTCGAGTGAAATAACCTCTTTTAATGTACTCAAAATCCCAGGAGCGGGTCCAGTTTTCGTGAGCATAATCCGGGTTTTCGCCACATCTAAAGGCGTCGTTAGTCCAGCTGCAATGCAACCCGCTACACTTCCACAGGCGGCTCCTTCAATCGGACTACACCGTCCGGATTCCTTCTTCTCCGCCACCATCCTCTTCAATGCCTCCCAAATCGGAAATTGAATAATCGAGAATGGGATCTCTCGGGCTACCGTACTCCCATAGCCCTGATAGAATCCTTTCAGTCCTTTTGTCTCCATTATCTCCTTACAAATCAATGTTAATCGGGTATTCTTGTTCACTTGTCCTCTCTGTTTACACAATTCTGTTGGCACTCGGACGGCGCATGCTGCAATTTCAGCCAGACTAGCGGAGAGGGCATCTAGCAGAGAATCTCTTCCTTTTATTGATTTTTTCATTTGTGTATTGATGTATTTGTAGGTGAGGAAGAATATCGCCGCGCCGGGAGCTGATCCAACCAGTACTGAGCTCATTCCTCTGGAAAATGGAGGTTGGTGACAGAGGCAAAAATTACTTTGAAGGCGCATCGTGGGTCTTACCACGAAAAAAAATTACTGTAGAACTTTTATGTTTTTTTTCCGTTTCAATCCAGAAAAGTAGGGAAACATTTTTTTGGATTTCTTTCCGAATAATTTCTCATTTTTCATCGCTCCGAAATGTTTCACTTTTGCACAAGTTGAATAAAACTACAGTAATATTTTCCATCGTGATGAGACCCTCCTAAAGTCCAAGAAATGCACCTATAAATATCCTTAAACCCTCCGGCGGCAATGAATCCCTGCTTGGATTGCATCCGGGATTTTATCGTATCCAGTGGATACAGTCCAATATCCACTGCCAATCCAGCAGTCGCTCCACAGACAAGCCATCGTACCACCGATCCGTCTTCTGATGGCATTCTGAATTCGTTTTTTTTTGGATTTGGATTTTCAAGGCACACCACAACACAGATACTACATTAGTCGATCAATTCGACTTCAAGAAATTTATAAAAGTGAATTTTAATTGCAAATTTATTATTCAAAACTTATTTTCAATTTGATTATAAAAAAAGGAAGCAAAAACGTATTGCAATTAGATTACAAAAGAAATGAATTGTACACGAATCATTGTTGATTGAGTTGAACCCGGCGTCTGAAAAAAATCAATATTATTACATTTTTCTGTTTTTTTTTTCAATCAAATGATTTTTGGATTAGGTTTGTGTGTGTGTTCAATGGGGAAGGAAGCATTCACAATGAAAACCAGCGAGGGGTGAGAATGAAGAAGTACAACAAAAATTGGAAAAATGAAAAATCGAAATTCATATAAGCTTACCGATGACAGTTTGAAGGGTTTTGTGACACATCGAAGTTTGACAATTCGAAGAATTACAACTCAACACAAGAAGATTCATGTTTTGACAAAAACGTTTGGAGGATTTTTTGGGGAGAAAAAAGAGCGAAATAGTAGCTATAAAAGAGTGTAATTTCAGAAAATTTCAGATCAAAAAGTGTGTTTTTTTTTCTAGGATTCTTCAATTTCTTGTGCTGATTGAACGAGGATTTCGACGATGATGACGTTGTCGCGTAGTAGTGTCCAGCCTGTCAGAAAAATTACAATTGAAATGAGAAAATATTGAAAAACAATACAAAAATAGAGGGGGTTAGAATGGAAAACGTTACTGATACAAAATCAGGTAAATAAAATCACAATCAAGAATTGGGATCGGACTAACTTTTTGAAAAAGTGAAATCCAAGATGTGGGTGGTACGACAGATTGAATAAGGTTGTTTATCTTAAAGGCGCATCGGGATTTTGAACTAGAATTGTAAGAAATGATCATCAGGAATGACACGGAATGAGCTGTAACCTTTCGAGAAAAGTTACAGAAAATTCCGTGCCATCTCGAAAACCAGTTCCGTACAACTCTTTTTCAAATTCTGAGCAGACTTTTCTGAAAAAATTTTGTGCGCCTTTAAGATAAATGAAGCTTCACGCTTCGTTCTAGATAAAGAAATAATCGGATATCATTGGAAAAAGACTAGTGACAGTTCTCTAATATCCAAGTGTTGGGGGGGGGGGGGGGTGAGTGAGCCTATACATTTTTAAAATAATCATGAATACAAGCGAGCTGACAGTGAAACTATAGAAAATAGGAAACTAATTGTGACATAACTCGACAAAAATTCTCATAGAACTATCCCCAGCTAAAAACTATAACACTCTAACTAACAATGTTTTTAGAAAAATAATTACAAAAATCTTTAAATTCTGGCCTCATAAAATAAACTAAATCACCTAAAATCATGAACATCATAACAATTTTCAAAAAACTTTTAAAGACAAATCAGTTACTTTTAGGAAATAAAAAAAATTGAAAATCACCAGAGGAACAATTCAAAAGAATACGGACAAAATATGGTATTCGAAACATTGAAAAATTGAGCAATGAAATAATATTCATCTGAAAATGGAACTCTGAAAAACTCACTTTTTGGTGAAAGACACATCGCAATATCCCGTTTAGTCAGTGAGAAGAGCTGAAGAAAACCAGTATGATGAGGAAAATGATGGAGAATATATGAATCTGGGATCTGAAATTTTAAAAAAATTGATGGGGAAAGTTGAGATGATTGCTTACCAAGTTATCAAGAATTGAAGAATTACAAAATTATTTGAGCTTTTTTATAAAGAGGACTTTAATAACGACGACGTCTTGGAGATGGTGAGCGAGAATAGGAGCGAGAACGAGTACGGCTACGTCTTCTTCTCTTACGATCTCTCTCACGACTTCTGGAGCGATCACGATGCGATTTGGAAGAGCGAGAGGAGTATCCTTTGGATTCGAGTCCCTTCAACGTTTGCTCCAATCCATAAACCAATTGTCTGCATCTGTCATCATGACCGATTCGACTGTTTTTGATCAAAGCGATAGCCGTCAATATAGTCTCTGATGCTCCTTTAATATCTCCAACAGATGCGTCAGTCAGGGCTCTGGCCATTGCTGATGAGGACACTGTTTGATTACGAGTCATCACATCTTCAAATTCGGCATCCGATACGGCAGGTCCTTGAATTCCAGGGAACATCTGTGACTTTAAACTGGTTAATTTGTATTTTTTGATTCAATATTACCTGTGGATTGATATGAACTGGCGGCAAACCGTTGACTGGTGGACGCATAGCAGTGTTCATTTGCATAAGTGGCTGCATTCCGAGTTGCGGTGGTCTAGAACTATCGGGAGATTAAATTCAGATTTATTTCGAATTCCTACCTGTTCTGGAATTGATTCGCCATTGGTGGAGGAGCTGTCATGTTCACTCCCATCATTGGTTGAACTCCCAATGTTGGCTGCATCATTGGACGGACTTGTTGTTGTCCCATCATCATTTGTGGTTGTTGCATTGGTTGGCTCATACCGCCCATCGGCGCGGTTCCCATTAATCCCTGTTGCGCCACAGGAGCTCGATTTACCATTGGCACTGGTTGTCCGTTGATTTGAAGACGCATTTGTGGAACTTGCTGCTGATTTTGAAGAATTGGTGCTTGCGAACTCATCAATGGCGTCGGTCGAACTTGTTGCATCATGAGTGGTGGAGGACCGGCTCTTCCGGTGTTATTAGTTCCAGCACGTCCTGCTTGGTTTCCGGCTGTTCCGATACGAATGGTTCCCATATTCACACAACCATCGTCGAATGTTTGCTGAAAATATCAGAGAGTGATTGATTTCTGAATATCCGTTGAAGGATGAAAAAATGCAAAAACACTTGTCCAGATGAACTTTTAACGCGCACCCGTTGAAGGTGAACGCCGGTAAGACTCCGAATCAATATTGCACCAGCTACCAGCTCATGATCATAAATACAAAACACCGCTGAGTTTCAATGGTGCGAGGGGGAATCGAACCCGCGACTTGTCTATTGACAGACGGCGCGACAACCGACTGCGCTACAGCAGACAAGCGGGAGAGACCGCCGCAGGGCGTTTATATTGCTGCTGCCGCTGCCGCCGCCGACATAAGTAGCCCATACGAGTATTGTTACTTACTTTCTTCTTCACATCCGGACGAGTTTGATTCTTGGCCATAACTTCTTCAAGCTTAGCTTGATTTGTTTTATTGTATCCAAGAACAGTTGGACTTTGTCCATGAATTGTTTTGGTTGGGAGCTGCTCCATAATCTGTTTCACAGCTGAAAACAAAACGAAATACTAAAATGAGTCTTTTAGGTGATAATTATTACCTGAATCCGAATTGAGAACCAACAATGCGTATCCCTTGCTCTGACCATTGGTTCGATTTTCGAAGAACTTCATATCGGCGAATTGCGATCGCGGGAGGCCAGTCGAGATGATAGCTTTCTGAACAAAAACTCATTTGAAATGACTCAAAGTTAATCAAATTTTACCATCAAATCAGCGTCTGTTGTATACCACAAGAGGTTTCCCACATAACAACAGTACTTTCTTCCTTCAGATGATGCCGCTGGTTTCGCCATCAAAGTATTGGTGGGAGTGACGACGCTGTTCGGTGTCGTGACTTGTTCTTTAACCTTTATTTCTTCCTATAAACAACTATTAAAAAAGATTTACAAAATTCAAATTACCGTTGTCGTCGGAGCCAGTGCCACGTCGTACAGATCGTCGACCTCCTCATCTTTCAAATCTTTTCTAAAATGGAAAAAAAATTAGAAATTCAACTTTGAATAAAAATAACTCACTCATCAAGTAGCACATTTTCATCTAAAGGCTCATCGTGAGTCTCACTGGCTTCGCCCAATAGTACGGATTCGTCTATTTCTGTCATTCACCTGAAATAAAAATATTTTTTATGACGGCAGTTATTTTCTAACAAAAAAACGAAACGAGAGCAAAAAACCGATCGATGATTTTTATGGATGAACCCTTTTTTGCGTAGTTATTCAGTCAAACACTGTCAATCAAATCCATTGGCAATCGTAAAAAGAGGCGGAGTCACACTAAACAATGCGCACGCGCGGGATCCCGGAGTCTCGTTGCATGTGTTGATTTACGGCGGATTCATTTCGCATTGGCTTTTATGTATTCCGACTGTTTTCGGCGATGAATAACGCTTTCAATCTGTCAAATTTGCCGAAAATGCATCAAAATTTACTCTATGGAAATCTCCAAGTAGCTGATGAGGTAACATGATCCTTAATTTATTTTTTCATTATGAAATCGTTCCAGCAAATCATTTACTGCGAAACAGAGTATGAAGAGGAATCAGGCTCAATTTTCCATGTCGAAGAGCGAAACGATGTTCGTTGCAACATAATGGAGGACTATTTCTCAGCAGAAGCTATGGAAGCAGCTAACCAAGACCAGTTAGTTGTTTTTTCAATAGCTAAAAATGATAATTTGCCTGGTTTCCAGTTCAATATGTTATTACTGTAAAGAAGACCTCAGGAATAAACGGTTCTACAATCATCTATTCGATCAACATGGATTCACGAAACAACAGTGTGAAATGATGAAACAACAAAAACGATTGGAAACATCGAAAACCAAAGCGAAACGAAAAGCGCTTCATGGTTGCATGGAATGTGGAATGGAGTTTATAACAAGAAGTGGTCTGAACAGTCATTTATCGAAAAAAGGCACCACGTGTTACCAAGAAGTTGAATCTGAAGAAGGACCCTCAAAAATTAACCTAATTGTGTGTCCAGCCTATGCATGTCCGGCAGAGTAAGAAGACTTTTGTTACGTTTTTGAATTTTTCCATTTTCAGATTCCCCACGTATTTGGAACTTGCGATCCATGTCGACGCCTTTCATAGAGATTATGTGACGAAGTACGATGCTTTCATGATACGGAGGGCCAATTTCACTGATAAAGCTAGTTTTCAGGTTGGTATTTCAATATTCAATCATTTTTCTCCAATCAAATCAAAAAATAAAACGTTTTCAGGCTTGGAAAAAAGAAAGAGAAGAGGAAACGAATTCGGAATTCTTCCTAAGGTCTTCTCAAAAAGTCAGTTTCGCTGTACGAACAGTTTTATACAAATGTCTCTGTTCGAACTCTCGTGGATTGAACAAAAAGAAATGTGAACAGTGTCCAGCATTCATCAAAGTTTGTCAGCGTAGAGGTGGAAAGTTTGATGTTGTTGCCTGCTTCGGTCACCTCGGACATGATCATCCGACGGAGACGACGAAAGCGAAAGAGAATCGGTTGAAAGCTGCTGAGGAATTGAATATGGTTAGAATTCCAGTAATGTACTTTCAACTGATGTTATTTTCAGTATCGAAACGAAGGTCTGATTCCGCAACGGCCGAAGTTGAGTCACGTGACAGCTCCGAATCACATTGTGGTTAATCAATACAAAAATCAGGAGCAGTACATGAATGAAATGGATATTTTAATGCCCGGAGAAGCGATGAATGAAGAAGACGACGATGATGAAGACGAATATCAACAAGTGATTGTTGACGATGATGCTAGTCATCAAAACGTTTATTATCAAAGTTCATCTCATTATTGATCTCAATCAATTTTTATCTGGTCGTTTATGGTGCTTACAGCACAGTTTTAGGCTTTTTTTCCTTTTTTTTTCTTTGTGAAAATGATTGTTTATCATGCAATAACAATTTCTAAAAACAAATGTAAATTTTAAGGAACGTACAACTTTTCTAGCATGGGTCTCGCAAAGATTTCCCAAATCTCTGTTGTTGATTATTGTTACATCATAAAAGGATTCATTTTTGGCACTCAAAATGTCCTTTTTCCTTTTATTTTCTTGTTCTTTGAAACCGCTTGAAATAAATAATATGTTTTTTGCTCCTCTGAAATCCCTGAAACCAATAAAACATGTCATTTTCCAGCAAATATTTGTCAAATTTTGACATCGTTCTCATGAATTCGAAATGATTTCATTTTCGGTTTCTCTCCTCCTCTCTCTCTCATTCGGTTTTTTGCTATGTTCATCAGATCCAATATCGGTTTTGCGATGCATATGTCCGTCCGGACGTCCCACCAGATGTTCTCAATGTGTTTCCTCGTTCTCTGTTTTCCCTAACAGCCTGAGAGATCATTTGATCGTTTTAGTTTGTTGTGTTCGACAAAACGCAAAACGTCTTCCGGTTTCGAAAAACAAAATTTGAAATTCCACTTTGATAATAAAAATTGTCACATTTTCACTCTATTCATTCCCCACCTATGACGTTTCCTCTCCTTCTTCCGCGCATCATATTTTTTTTTCATTTCACATTTTCTTCCACCACCCAAACCCATCTTTCACCACCGGACAGTAGTTATTGTGTGCATGTTCTCCATGTTCAAATCATCAAAAGAGGGCCGTTCTAATCTTCGAAAATGTCGTAGGCGACGCTCCTTTGTTTGTTCGAAAGCCGCGCGTCGCCACCGCCGCCGCTCCGGCCAGCCACCGAGCAATAATGCGTGTGTTCGAGAGTGTGAGCATGCTCATGCAAAGAATCTCTGTGTGTGTTCTTCCGCGCCATGTTTCCGTGTTACCTTCAACGAGACTTTCATTCTTTTTTTTGCTCATTTTCTAGTCTCTTTCCTGTGCAGAACCGCCAATAATTATAGAGAAAACCCCATTCTTCGTCGTTTCCCACCAATTTCAAATGGCTCATTTCTCATCTCATAAAATTTTCTCTTCTGAGCGCGCGAGCGCCACAAGATGCCTAGACACCACCAATTTTTTTTGATAGTCATCTCTCACGAAATGGCACAGAATGCTGCTCGCTCGCTGCCCAAGACCTTAATTTTCATTCTTTTCTGCATGCTGCATGTCAACCCAAATTCCAACAATAAAATGTGATGTTTTCGAGAAAACGGAAATAAATTTCCGAAAAAAACTCGGAAAAAAATTTCTCGAAAGGCATACTGTAGCATTAAAGGCGCATTGGTTGTACCTTGCTCTGGTCTCACGGCGGAAAACGAACCGTTTTTCCATGTAGTTTCTTTTTAGAATAAACTTCAATTTTTTCGTTTTTTTTTGTCAGTCTTTTCGTGGAATCCCGCCCAAAAGCGAGAAAATAGGTACTATTCGGTCCTAATCTGTCACAGTCACGTCCTTTTCGCAAAGATGTTCCTTATTTTCTCATTTTTCTAGGGGGGAGAATAATTCGGAATTTCCGTTTTCCAAATATTCATATGAATGTTATTTTTGGCTGCTTTTTTGACGAGAGAGACGAATCCCAAAAGGAATTTCCGGATGACCTCTCGAAATAGATCGGCATCGCTGGATTTAGAAGATTTAGACGAGAATGTCAGATTTGACACGTGCGTTTCTCTTTTTTTGGAGTTTCTATAATCTCTGATGGTGCTGCTCTTTTCAACCCCTTCATTCATAAATGTTGCTTCTATTTTCGTGTGTTTTGTTGTCTGGAAATGTTGCTAGGGGATGGATTGAAAGGGCATCCCGGATTTGTGAAATCATATGGAAAGTATTATAAAGTAGAGTGACTCGCTACACACACACACTCAATGTTTGCAGGCGGACCTGTCACTTCCATCGGTCACTTTGAGAAATAAAGTGATCTAAGGGAATTTATTTATAAATTCACTATTTTTTGTGTAATCTCGGATAGTTTCTAGTTATGAACTACTCTAGAATTTTCTACATAGTTCATAATATTAGTTGTTTGCAGAAAAATTCAATTATACAAATGGACTCATTTCTAGAAAAATGAATGAAAAATGCACTCCGAGCACTTTTCCTCACTTTTTATGCAAATAGAATTCGTTCGTCAGAACGACATTGACCGGAAAAGGAAGCATTTTGAACGAAACCAAAGAAACGAACAGAACAATTACAATTTCGGTCTCTTCCTTGACATCGTTCATCTTTCCGTCGCAAAATAATTACTTTTCTTCCTCTCATTCGTTTTTCTACTGTCCGTTCCACTCATAAAATGCACTTTGAATGCGAGTAAATTAACCCGTCTTCGTTTCTTTTTGACGACGTTGTCGGATTTGGCG